AAAAAAGATGTGGCATTCTGTTTCTGTAAAGGTTACAGCCTTGAAAACCCGATGGGGCAGTTCTACTCTGTCCTGTCGGGTCGCTGTGAGTCAGAATCAACTCGACTGCAGTGGTTTTGGTTTTGGAACACAGAACTTTTGGCTTATTGTGGACTGTTCGTGTATTACTTGCTTCTTTTTAATTTTGGTTCTTCTATTTGGAAATAATGAACATTTACTACATGCATTGGTCAGGGTTTTTAGTTACAGATATGAAAGTTATTCTAGTTCATGTAAGCACAAAGAGATTTATTAAGGATGATAGCTAGCTTAGTAAATCATCTGAGGACTGAAGAAAGAGACTGGAGGCTGAGTTTCTGGGAATGATTGCCAGCACTGCACCGTGGAACCGGCCCACCAAGAAGCTGCTGCCCACGCCATGGTCAGGATGCTCCCAGTCAGGAAGCCAGAGCTGCGCTGCTACCTCCAGAATCATGCCGCCTGTGTCTGCCTGTGGATGCCTCACATCCTGCCACCTGGCTTTTTTCCCTTGTAACTCATTCTGAGAGTCCCATGTGGGTGTATCTGATTGGAGGACCCTAATTCACATGTCTGCCTGTGCTGTAAGATATGGGGGAATCTCCCATCCTCGTTTTATTTATTTGCTTTTGAAAAATTCTACCTTGGGAAGGTAGGCTTTACACCAAAGAACAAAAAAACAAAAACAAAAAACTAAAAAAGCCAAATCAGTTGCCTTTGAGTAGATTCTGACCCATGGCAACCCCATGCGTTACAGAGTAGAACTGCTCCTTAGGGTTTTCTTGGATATAGGGTTGCCGTAAGTCAGAATCAACTAGACAACACACAACAACAGCCATCTTTACAGAAGCAGATCGCCAGGCCTTTCTTCCATGGTGCCGCTGATTAAGTTCAAACTGCCAGCCTTTAGGTTAGCAGCCAAATGCAAACTGCATGCACCACCCAGGAATCTACAGTAGGGAACTATTAAACTGGTGAGAATCTACAAAAGATGATTTTGGGCCCCTTTGAATAACAGATGCTCATTACAAGATGCAGTTAAAATAATATTTTTTATATCATACTAATGATTGTGATTAACTTTTAAGGAAATCTATTTAAAAAATACTTTCTTTTTAAGTTGGGAGGGAGTGCATAAAGAATGTTTAAGAACCCAGCAGTTTCCATGATTATGTTACTTTAGAATTGTTTATTAGTCTAATAAAAGAATGTTGATAATAAAGACAAGAGTGCCATCTTTTTATGGGTTCTTTTGTCCTTGGAGAACACCACTGCAAGCCAGGACCGATTCTTGTGACCTGGTCTGTTGATCAGAGAGGGAGAGTTGAGACTTGATGACTGGTCAGTATAAATCGTTACTATTAGAAGAACAAGATAAAGGATATGAGTCTGGGATGGTGGGTTAGCAGAATTACAACCATGATGTTATTATAATTTTTAATACCTGACTGCTTAGCTAAAGTTTTTTTCTGAAACAGACTGAGCACTAGAAGGGACCTTGGAAATCATGTAAATCCAGTACTGCAAACCAAAGCCCAGGAGGTGAAGTGATTTGCTCAAGGCTAGGTCCCCATGAGTAGGGGTGACTCTACAAACAGCTAATAACAACATAGAGTCTCCAGGCCTCCTGATGTCACAGCCTAGTCCTTTTCCTTCAAACCCTCTGGGAAATCAGAGGGTTTCCCCCAGTGGGAGAAGGCCTTAGTGCATCCTGGATTCACCATACTGAGGTTGGAGTTCAGATGCAGTAGTCAGGGTGTCTTCTTGGAGTAGTTGTTGGTTAGGTAACACTAGTCCTCTTCTGTGTGTCAGATAAGCACTTGGAAATTTGTGCTTGAGTTTGTGAGGAAAATAAACCACAGAAGTAAAAGTTTTGTTCAAATTTTACACACAGCTCTATTTACTTTTCTGGGTTGTTCATAAATTTGCTCATATACAACTCTTGATAAGGCATTTGCAGTTATATACGTAGTCAGTACAAGGTAAGAAATACTAGGAAACCAGTGTGGCTCACTTCCTCAGCTTCAAATCATATGCTCAGATGCTGCCTTTGCATTGAGTCCTACACTGACTCACCGTGTTTAAGATTGCAGCCCACCTTCCCTCCATCATTCTTGAATCCCCTTATCCTGTCTGCCATCCTGGCCTTTTTTTTTTTTTTTAATAACACATATCCTCTCTAGCATTGCGTGCGTGCGTGTGTGTGTGTGTGTGTGTGTGCGTGTGCACGTACACGTGTATCTCCCATATAATTTTGCCGATTTATTATGTTTAATGCTTATTGGATATCTCTTCCATCAGAGTGTAAGCTCCACAAAAGCATAGAATTTGTCAGTTTTGTGTGTTCCCAGGATGAAGAATAAATAGTGCCTGCCGCATAGTAGATATTCAGTAAACATGTTGAATGAATGAACTTGGCAAAAACAGCTACTCTTTAAGGATTCCTACCAGTAAAATGACAGATTTCAATCCTAGTGATTATTTTATTCATGAAATCATTGGGGATGGCAAAATCATCAGTTGATACGTAAAGAAAATAAATCATTTTAAGTATATGAGTTGTGTTACATATAGTATTCTGGAACCTCCTTTGTTTATTTGGCAATAAACAAGGAATTCAGTAAAGTATCTTAATAGGAGAGGAGCATTCAAGCTTCTTTCTGGAGATAACCTAGGGAGCAGTTATGAATATTTTGAGATCTTTGTTTTATGTTAACAATTTTAAAAGTTCCAGATGAAAAAAAACCATTAAATTATCCAGATATTACCAGCAAACAAATTCTTTAGATATTAAAGTCTAGGTTACTAACTGATAAAAATAGATACATAGATTCACAAGTACAGACTTGGACACGTAACTCATTTTAAAAATAACTAGTTTAAAAGGTTTTCATTTTCAACATTGTGGTAAAAAAGGCCAGGTTTCTGAGTATTGGAGTACTGAGGAGATAGGGGTAGGAAGAGGAAGGAGTCAAGGTCTTGGCAGAGTTGGAAAAATGGTTCAGCAGAATCATCCAGATGTGCTGGTACATTTCTGTTACTTTAAACCTTTTCAGGAAAGGTAATATATGAGATACACTTAATGAAGATAAAGTCTGTAATGCTCCAAAAATTTAATTTACCTAAGCTGGTGGTAGTCTACTAAGTTCTAGGGAGTAATGTAGTGTATAAATGTTCATTTTTATTATTTAAAGGTACACTTGACTTTTAGAATTCAAGGGAAGTAAAGATATTATACCTAACATCTTAGCAAGAGAATAAGTTAAAATTAAATAATCTAAAATTAAGTTAAAAATTGGAAAATATCTTAGAAATCAAATATTCTAAATCTAAATATTCTAATTCTACATAGTATCAATTTTTATAAGTAAACTTAAATGACTTGCCTGATATCACACAGCCAGTTATTGGCAGAATTGGGACTGATTTTTGTCACAGATTTTCACCGAAGTATCTTAATAGGAGAGGAGCATACAAGCCTCTGGGATAGCCTAGGGAGCGATTATGAATATTTTAGTATCTATGTTTTATCTTAAAATTTCAGAAGTTCATGCCAACATACAAATTGTGTGAGTACCTCAAGTTTCAGTGTCTCCACATGAGGCTGGCCCCTGAGATGAGTATCTGGGGGAGCCCGTGCCTCTTGCTCTTGCCTAGTGGACAGTTTTCTGGGCGACCAAAAGAGGAATCATTAGGCAAGAGCTTGGTGAGCAGTCACTGATGACCCATGAAGGGGCCGTCTCTGCTCAGCTGGGTGAACCTCTTAGCATTTTTGAGAACAGATCTCTGGAGACATGAGGAATTTTCAGATTGGGCCTGAAACCTGTAGGAACTGGACAACTGCTATCCCTGAGCAGTGTACCATTTGAGTAAAATAGAGGTAGCCGTCTGAATTTTTATTGTCTTATATTTGCAGGTTTTCTGTTGTCTGTACCTGTAGATTTAAGGAGGACTTTGGGCAGTAGTGGAGCCCTGGTGGCACAGCGGTTAAGAGCTTGGCCGCTAACCAAAAGGTTGGCAGTTTGAATCCACCAGCTACTCCTTGGAAACCCTATGGGACAGCTCTACTCTGTTCCATAGGATCACTATGAGTTGGAATCGACTCTATGGCACTGGGTTTGTTTTTTTTTTTGGCTTTTGGCCATTAGCATATAAAGATTGTTTTGCCATGTGGGTATCATGTACCCGTGGTCTTTTTCTCACTGACAGCCTACTGTCGTGTGTTGTTTTCAGTTAAATCTGTATCGCACTAGCTGGTTTACTAGTTGTAGGTAAATGTGCAGAAATACTCTGCAGAGTTATTGGCTTCATATCCCCTTCTGGCAGAGTCATATGCTTAGAAGTTCATATATGGTATCTATTAGGCACATCTTGGCAAATGGTGAGTGCCATGTGGGTGGGTAAGAAGTGCAGCTGTGGTTAAGGTAACCAGGGTGGGAAGACCCTGCTTCACACTTATGCTGCTACTTTGGCTAGTACTGAAAAGAGATTGTTTTGTCATTTAAAAAAAAACAACAATATAGTTCTAAAGTCAGAGATAGCTTTAAAATCATTGATTTAACTCATGATTTTTCACATCTCCTGGATTTGAAATTTTGAAGAACTTGGCAGTTTGTTCGAATGTGGTTTAGATAGAATAAGCCAAAGACGCCCTGTTAAAGACTTACTTTGAGGCTGAAGAAAGCCATTATTTCCTCTTTCATTTCATTAAGGTATGGCAGTATCAGAGCAGATGGAAGGCTAGAATATGAGCTTATAAGTTGGGTGAAAACTTAATCAGCCAATTGGCTCACTCTTAATGATAAGACAGGAAGAACCACCCACGTTTTCCATTTTGGATTTGAGTCACAGAAAACAGGTTTCCTGCAGAAACCATTTGGCTTTAACAAGTGTATGGAAATTTCATCTTTGATCACATTGATGTTTTTGTCTTTATTGTGCATGTATTTCAAATTAATTATTTTTCTCTTTTCAATCCATAGGTTAAATTTCAATTGTGAATCTCCTATAGTACTGACTGTAACCTAATTTCCAAGATTTCTATAAAAGAGATAGTCAGAAGGACTGTACTTTCAGGTAAGGGTCTAATTTTACTTTATCTTAATAATACACAACTGCTTTAGCAGAATTCTGAAGCCCCTCCCCACCAACATATCAATAGAAGTATAGATGAGTTTTTTTTAAAAGGTGGTAATTTCAGTTCTCCAGACAGGTTTCCACCTGCTTGGGATTATCTAAGAGGTATCATTGTGACTGAATACTTAAAACAATAGAAATGTGTGAAGACAGTTATAATACACACAAACACGCACACAAACACACAGTCACTTAAAAGTACTGCAATGATTATTTGTGTACAGGTTTCTGTTTTGTGTTCCTGCCTTAACTTCTTCTGAGTATATACCTAGAATTGGGATTGCTATGTCATATGGTAATTCTAATGTTCAGCATTTTTGAGGAATCACCAAAGTGTTTTCCACAGTGGCTATACTCTTTACATTCCCTCCGGCAATGGGTGAGTGTTCCGTTTTCTCTAAAACCTTGCCAACGCTTGTTTTCTGGGTTTTTTTTTCTTTTTCTGCATCATTGCCATTCTAATGGGGTAAGGTGATAATCTCATTGTGATTTTGATTTGCATCTCCCTGAGTGAGAATAGACAAGGCAACGGGTTAAGCCCTGGTGGCACAGTGCTAAAGAGCTCGGCTGCTAACCAAAAGGTTGGCAGTTTGAATCCACTAGCCCCTCCTTGGAAACCCTATGGGGTAGTTCTACTCAGCCCTGTAGGGTCGCTATAAGTCGGAATTGACTCAAGGGCAATGGGTTTGGGTTTTTATGGGGAGTGGCTAATGAGAAGCCCTGGTGGTACAGTGGTTAAGAGCTTACCTGCTAACTAAAAGGTCAGCAGTTTGAATCCACCAGCCACTCCTTCAAAACTATGGGGCAGTTCTGCTCAGTACTATAGGGTCGGTATGAGTCAGAATTGATTCCACAGGAACAGGTTTGGTTTGGTTTTAATGGCTAATGATGTTGAGCATATTTTCATGTATTTGTTAGCCATTTGAATATCCTCTTTGGTGAACTGTGTAAGTCCTTTGCCTGTTTTTTGTTTGAGTTATCTTTTTGTTGTTAAGTTGTAGAAGTTTTAGATATATTTTGGACATTGGGTCCTTATTGGATATATGGTTTCTGAAAATTTTCTCCCAGTCTATAAGTTGTCTTTTCACTTTGTGGATAAAGTCCTTTGATGTATAAGGAAGTTGTCTTAGTCATCTAGTGCTGCTGTAACAGAAATACTACAAGCTGTCGGCTTTAACAAACAGAAGTTTATTCTTTCACAGTCTGGTAGGCTAGAAGTCCAAATTCAGGATGTCACCTCCAGGGGAAGGCTTTCTCTGTCGGCTCTGGAGGAAGGTTGTTGTCATCAGTCTTTCTCTGCACAGGAATCCCGGGTCCAAAGGACACACTCTGCTCCCGGTGCTGCTTTCTTTGTGTTATGAGGTCCCTATGTCTCTCTGCTCGCTTCTATCTTTTATATCTCAAAAGAGATTGGCTTAAGACACAATCTAATCTTGTAGATCTCATCAACATAACTGCCACTAATCCATCTCATTAACATCATAGTGACAGGATTTACAACACATAGGAAAATCACCCCGGATGACAGAATGTTGGATGATCACACAATACTGGGAACTGTGGCCTAGCTAAGCTGTGACAGACATTTTTGGGGGACACAGTTCAGTCCATGACAGAAGTACTCATTTTATAGACGTATTCATTATAAAAGCAAATACTTATTGAATTTAATAATAAAAATGGTATTTTAGAGTGAAAAGACCACTAAATGGGTGTAGATCTTAAATTCTGTTTATTAACTGACAGGATGGCCTTGACAAATTAATTCTATTTCCTCACTGGTAAAATAGCATAAAGTGAATTAAAATAGTATTGGACTAAGTAATTCACTTTATACTTAATCAGCCATCATTCTGAGTAATAATATTAGTGTGAATAAGAAATACTTGTGAGAATATTTGACAGTGGTAATCCAGATGAATTGTGAAGTGGAATTCCAGTAATGCTTCCGCTTACCTTGAGTAGTAAGAAGGACATTTCTGGAAGAGGTTGTTTATTCATGACAAATGAAAGGTATGTCTCTGTTGATGAAAGTAACATAAGGCAGCCGGAAAATATTTTAAACACATTGAAATGTATGTTCTTATGGTAAATTTATTGTAGGAGCTCTGGGTGGTTTTTCTCAATAATGGTCATTATAAATGGAATTTTAGGAAAGATAGGGTTTCGCATAGATTCTTTGTATACCCCTGTGTGAGGTATATAATTTCACTTGAATGATAAAAAACTTGCTAAATTCAATAAGTGGTATAGTCTGGAGCCCAAGTGATGATGGTGCCAACTTCTTAACACTTATTCCATCTCCTTAGTGCCTCTTTCCTTTTTAAGCCTGATCTAAGGTAGCAGATGGTTGAAACAAATCTATTGGCGGACTCAGCCTCTGAGACCTCCATTAGCCTCCATTAAGAGGTTAGAAAATGTATGATAAATCACAGTTCAGACATTATCATACTGTGTCTCGTTCCTGATTTTTAATTTATAAGCATTTTTTAAAGGAAATATTTTTGGCCAATACATTTTTGATGGTTGACTGACAGAAGACAATGAGTGCGTCAGCTTCCTTCCCTTCCTGTGTAGACTTATTCACTAAGAATTTGTCTGGCACCAGAAATTTGACTTTCGGTCACAGGAAGCAACTGGGTGGTAGTAACTTTTAGTTGCTATTGATATGCAGTAGACTCAAATTAATAACCTGGGATAATTTAATCTAAACAGTGTATTTTTTAAAAAATTGCCAAATTCATCTTTTTCACCTATTTCCAGATTCATTAATTTGTTTGGATTAATCCAGAAGCATTGTTGAACTTTATTGCTACCTAGATGGGGCTGTTTTTTGAGTGACACATTCCACCCTTCAGAGGTATTCATTTCTTTTTCCAAAATTTAGAGTCTCTTATTTTTTACACTGTCCGACATTTACATTTTCAGCTTGCAGAATTTAAATCTTCATGAACATTCTGCTCTAGTGACTCAGGAATGTTACATAAAGTTCTCCCTACTCTCCTTTCGGTATGTGGACATCACATTCCTTGGCCAGTATTTGTTTTGCATCTGTCTTTTAGTGTAATCCTAACAAGTTCATTCAAGCAGTAGTTGAACTTAGATTAAGTGATATTGTGGTTGTTTGGCAGGATATGACCATAAACACTTCTCTTTAAACACGGAATGGCCTGGGGTTATTGTGATGTTCAATTGCATAATCACACATTATGTTTTACAGACACAGGAATGAGTACATGGGCCGCATACATCTTCAGTGAGAAATTGCCCTTAGGATGGAATCTATGTTAAAAACCATAGTGTACCCTTGAATGTTTTCTTAGGCAGTTATGTTCATATTTTGCATTTAATTGAAGTGTTTCTGATTGGTTGGAACTGTGATTAGTTTTTCAGGGTTTCCAGACAGTCTCCCACCCAGCATCTGAAGTAATTGTGAAAATGTTATTAGCTTTTAAAATATGTATTTTCAAAATTCTTTCATTTTCTATCTCCCTCTCTTCCTGGTATTTTTGTGTCTTGAAAGCTATTTTGCAAAAGATATCCTCAGAAGTAATTCACCTTTTACAGACCAGATGAAGTGGAATGTAGAGTCATTCTATTTGAAATGAATGCTAATGTCTCTCTTCAGGGCAACCCTGCTATTTCTGTGAGGACCTGGACTTTGCAGCTGTTATGTAGTATTGGCAAATACTTATTACTGTGGGCATCCGGAGAACTGAAATAGAACACCTGTTATAGTGGGTAGAAGGGCCTTTTGGGCATATTATGTTTTCGTTTGAGGCTGGTGTGAATATTTTTGAAAAAATTTTTACTTGCTGAATTGCCAGTTGCAGTATTTATCAGGAAATTGGCTCTTATTGGGCTCAGTGTTTCTAGAGTCTGAACTTGTACTAAACCATTGTTACTGAACCGCATGTTCTTTAATTTTCAAGTAGGAGTTTTAATTTTTGATTGATTTTTGTCTGTAAACTTACTTAGAGAAACCAAATTCAGTTAAAAATATTTTCTTGACAGAGTCTCCAAAGCTGAACACTAAATTTTCATTTGAAGCATTTGTTTACTAAAGAAAACCAAACCCAAGCCCATTGCCATCAAGTTGATTCTGACTTATAGCGACCCTGCAGGACAGAATAGAACTGCCCCGTGGGCCTTCCAAAGAGTGGCTGGTGGATTCGAGCTGCCGACCTTTTGTTTAGCAGCTGAGCTCTTAACTACTGCGCCACCACAGTATTTTTAATTTTAATTTTTAGCAAAGTAGTATGCGTGGTTTAAATAGTAATACAACTAGAAAAGAAAAAATCCTGTACCCCACCCTTCGAACCTCTCTCTCGAGACAACCATTTTCAAGGCTTTTTTTTTTATGCTATTTCTTCTGGCATTTACTTACATATATCTATATAACATATTTTTTTCTCCTGTAACTTGAGTTTTCACTTCTCGACATTATCTTTTGACTTCTTCCTACAGATGAAGAGGATTTAACTTCCTTCATTTCCCTTCCCTCATCCTCCCAGTGAGAATTTTATCAAATTTTTTGTTAAGCCATCATTCAGTATTTACAACATTATTTGAATATTAGTGGTAGAGGCCACAGGGTGAGGGGAGCTTGATCTATCAAGTACCTTCATTTTGAAAATGACCTGTTACATAGGATAGAGGTTTCCTTGGCCTGGGATGCAAAAGCCACAATGAGTTAGTGTTTAATCTGGGTAAGTCATTTCAGTACACTGCCAGTTCCTTCCCCTGTAAATGAGTGAAACAAATAATACTTCACAGGGTTGTTTAAGAGCATCAAGTAAGGTAGTAGAAAAGTATTTAAAATTTTACAAAGCAGGACATTTCTGTAAGGTGTTGGTGTTGAGTAATGTACTCTTGGATTATCAGGAATTTAACTCTGTGTTTATGCTCTTTTGTAATTGAGTGCTTCTTGCAGATAACTT